GTCTTTATTTTAAAGTCTATTTTGTCTAATATGAGAACTGCTACTCCAGCTTTCTTTTGATTTCCAGTTGCATGGAATATCTTTTTCCATCCCCTCACTTTCAGTCTGTATGTCCCTAGGTCTGAAGTGGGTCTCTTGTAGACAGCATATATACGGGTCTTGTTTGTTTATACACTCAGCCATTCTGTGTCTTTTGGTTGGAGCATTTAATCCATTTACATTTAAGGTAATTATCAATATGTATGTTCCTATTACCATTTTCTTAATTGTATTGGGTTTGTTATCGTAGGTCTTTTCCTTCTGTTTTGTTTCCTGCCTAGAGAAGTTCCTTTAACATTTGTTGTTAAGTTGGTTTGGTGGTGCTGAATTCTCTTAGATTTTGCTTGTCTGTAAAGGTTCTAATTTCTCTGTTGAATCTGAATGAGATCCTTGCTGGGTAGAGTAATCTTGGTTGTAGGTTCTTCCCTTTCATCACTTTAAATATGTCCTGCCAGTCCCTTCTGGCTTGCAGAGTTTCTGCTGAAAGATCAGCTGTTAACCTTGTGGGGATTCCCTTGTATGTTATTTGCTGTTTTTCCCTCGCTGCTTTTAATATTTTTTCTTTGTATTTAATTTTTAATAGTTTGATTAATATCTGTCTTGGCGTGTTTCTCCTGGATTTATCCTGTATGGGACTCTCTGCACATCCTGGACTTGATTGACTGTTTCTTTTCCCATGTTAGAGAAGTTTTCAACAATAATCTCTGCAAATATTTTCTCAGACCCTTTCTTTTTCTCTTTGTCTTCTGCGACCCCTATAATTCAAATGTTGGTGCATTTAATGTTGTCCCAGAGGTCTCTGAGACTGTCCTGAATTCTTTTCATTCTTTTTTCTTTACTCTGCTCTGTGGTAGTTATTTCCACTATTTTATCTTCCAGGTCACTTATCCGTTCTTCTGCCTCAGTTATTCTGCTATTGATTCCTTCTAGAGAATTTTTAATTACATGTATTGTGTTGTTCATCATTGTTTGTTTGCTCTTTAGTTCTTCTAGTTCCTTGTTAAACATTTCTTGTATTTTCTCCATTGTATTTACAAGATTTTGGATCATCTTCACTGTCATTACTCTGAATTCTTTTTCAGGTAGACTGCCTATTTCCTCTTCATTTGTTTGATCTGATGGGTTTTGTTTTTTTTTTTTTTTTTTGCAGTAGTCGGGCCTCTCACTGTTGTGGCCTCTCCCGTTGTGGAGCACAGGCTCCAGACGCGCAGGCTCAGCGGCCATGGCTCATGGGCCCAGCCACCCCACTGCATGTGGGATCTTCCTGGACCGGGACACATATCCGTGTCCCCTGCATCAGCAGGTGGACTCTCAACCACTGCGCCACCAGAGAAGCCCGATCTGATGGGTTTTTACCTTGCTCCTTCATCTGCTGTGTGTTTCTCTGTCTTCTCATTTTCCTTAGCTTACTGTGTTTGGGGTCTCCTTTTCACAGGCTGCAGGTTCATAGTTCCCGTTGTTTTTGCTCTCTGCCCCCAGTGGGTAAAGTTGGTTCAGTGCCTTGTATAGGGTTCCTGGTGGAGGGGACTTGTGCCTGTGTTCTGGTGGATGAGGCTTGATCTTGTCTTTCTGGTGGGCGGGACTGCGTCTGATGGTGTGTTTTGGGGTGCCTGTGACCTTATTATGATTTTAGGCAGCCTCTCTGCTAATGGGTTGTGTTGTGTTCCTGTCTTGCTAGTTGTTTGGCATAGTGTGTCCAGCACTGTAGCTTGCTGCTCTTTGAGTGGAGCTGGGTCTCAGCATTGAGATGGAGATCTCTGGGAAGAGTTTTCACCGTTCGATATTATGTGGAGCTAGGAGGTCTCTTGTGGACCAGTGTCCTGAATTTGGCTCTCCCACCTCAGAGGCACAGGCCTTACACCCAGCCAGGGCACCAAGATCCTCTCAGCCACATGGCTCAGAAGAAAAGGGAGAAAAAAGAAAGGAAGGAAGGTAGGGAGGGAGGGAGGGAGGGAAAGAAAGAAAGAGAGCAACCAAACCAAAAAACAAATCCACCAATGATAACAAGTGCTAAAAACTATACTAAAAAAACCCCAAAAAACAAAAAAAACCCTGACAGACAGATCCCTAGGACAAATGGTAAAAGCAAAGCTATACAGACAAAAATTACACAAAGAAGCATACACATAAACACTGACAAAAAGAGGAAAAGGAAAAAAATATATATATCTTTTGGGAAGTCTGAGGTCTTCTGCCAGCATTCAGTAGGTGTTCAGTAGGAGTTGTTTCACATGTAGATGTATTTCTGATGTATTTTTGGGGAGGAAGGTGGTCTCCACGTCTTACTCCTCTGCCACCTTGAAGATCTCCCCTTGTCTAATATCTTTACTGGTTTTTGTAGCAGGGTGATGCTGGCCTCATATAATGAATTCAGAAGTGTGTTCCTTTCTCTTCGATATTTTGGGGTAGTTTGAGAAAGATAGGTATTACTTGTTCTTTAAATTTTTGGTATAATTCACCTATGAAGCCATCTGGTCCTGGACTTTCGTTTGTTGGGAGTTTTTTTAGTTTGTTTGGTTCTTTTACTGATTCAATTTTATTACTGGTAATTAGTCTGTTCATATTTTCTATTTCTTCTTCATTCGGTCTTTAAAGAGCATACGTGTCTAGGACTTTATCCATTTCTTCTAGGATGTCCATTTTATTGGCGTGTAATTGTATTGTTTTCCATTCTTGTGACAGGTAGACACCTCGGATATTAACAGGTTTTCACTCCTCTGAGCAGGACTTCCGTGAACATTTGTATACAAGTGTTTTCATGAATGTGTTTTTATTTCTCTAAGGCAAATAGTGGGAATGGAATTGCTGAGTCATAGGTTATGTGTATTTAGTTTTATGAGGAACTGAGAACTTTTTCCAGTGTGGTTTTACAGTTTTACAGTCCATCAACAAGTATGAGAGTTCTGGTTACTCCTTATCCTTGTCAACATTTGCATTTGTCAGTTTATTTAGTTTCAGTCATTCTGGTGGATTTATTATGCTACCTCATTGTGGTTTCCATTTGCATCTTCTTGATGACTCATGATGTACCTTTGAATTTAATTTAAATTTTATTTAAATTTAGAGTCATTTTGACCTTCTTGTGAAATACAAGGAGGTTGCCCTTAGTGATTTTCCTACTTTTAAGATACTCTGCCTAGTCTTCTATGCTGGGTGAGCTCCTAGAGCCATGTGGCACAGTCATGCTTGGTAGGTGACCATGATAGGGTGGGTGGATGAAATCCACTTCCTGTAGTGCATGCTGTTCACAACCTCAGGTGGACAGCATTCTACAATAAATATCCAAGGAAAGGTAGTTTCTAATAACAACATTCACAGTCTCAGTGTTTCATAGTAACAGTCCCTGGAATGACTAAAACATGCTTTTCAGTAGAATATGAAAGTTCTTTACAGCTTTTGTGAAATAGTTTGAGACAGAAACCCAATCTTCTAAAGACCAAATTCAGAATAAATATTGATATAATTTAAATTTCCATGTAACTGGCATGTAAGTAACCTCCCATCTTACTTGTCTAAATGGAGGATGATTCTCAAAAGCACTGTATCAGTGCTTCTTAATATTTCTCTTGTGGCTTCTGATTAAGCAACAACACAAGCTACTTGTAGGTTTTAAATTTTAATTAAAGAGAATCTAAGTTATTTGGGTCTTATAATAACTTACTTCCCAAAGATCTGGGGGAAGGGGAGGTCAAAGGGGTAGCTGAGCTATGGGAAACCCTAATTGTGAATTAACTCCTTAGTTAATTCTAAGTTCTAAAGACAGAAGTTTCATGGAGGGCTGGGGGGACAAAATCACCCCAAAAGGCAGAGTTGCATGGTGAAAAGCCCCAAGAGTTTTTGAGGGAGACTTGGGTGTTTTGAGTCTGTTTGTGCCTAAATCTCTTAACTCCCATGTGCCTCAGTTTCCTCATTTGCCAGATGGGGAAGATGGAAATTTCTTCCTGCT